GCTATGCTTGTGCGGACTGTGTGGCGAGATAGTCCTTCGGAGCTCGGCCTCAGAGGAAGAAGCCCTGTCTATGTGAACAGCTGCCTTCGCCAAGCCCCCCCCCCCCTCCCCGGTCATGGTAGGGGCTTGGGCCGGCGTCGACAGCAGCGGGCCAGTGGGGCGTGACGAGGCCTCCTGCCAAGTGTCTCCTACCACTCCCGCCTGAGATACCCGCTGAGGCATCATGAGCAGCCTAGGCGATGCGACCCGCACCGAGCCGATATCAGCACCCAGCTATGCCGGTGCACCTAGAGAAGCCACCGGCAACAACGGTGGCAACTCCTTCTCCACAGGGTCGTCCAGCTCAGCCCTATGCCCCCAAAGGCGGGCATGGAGCAGTTTTATATACATATGCACTTTTTGTAAGTCGAGTAGATAATGTTTTCTGCTAAACAACTATACATGGCATATTTTGAGTTTTTGACACGTCATTTTTTCCCCATTTTTCCAAATGGGAAGCTTTGTCATCCAACATGTGTATTGCATTGCTCCTACTTAAATTTTCAAGCAACAAAAACCAAATAAGTCACAACTAAATTATTATTATTTTTCGAGGGTACGCAAATTGCGTACCATAGCTGTATAGAAGAGGAGAAAAACAATTTACAAGAGTGTTGAGGTGTTGCCAACAGCCACAGGTCGGCAGAGGCCACACAAAAACTCCAACTCCACACACTAAGCTAACTTCTCACAAAAGATCACTAACTCCTCTTCCTCCGGCCATCACCCACATGTGAAGTTCATCGATTATCTTGTTGACTGAATCCAGAACCGAAGATGGAGTGCTAGCCGGGCGAAAAAATCGATCATTTCTTTGCTTCCAAAGATGCCAACTGACTAGTATCACGAAAGAGTCGAAAGCTCTCCGGTTCTCCTTTGCTACCCTCTGTCGGGCGTTTCCCCACCAATGCTCCAGAGTGTCGTTGGCGTTGGGAGCTAAATTAGGCCCAAGCCTCGTCCTGGACAACGCCATGTGCCAAACTTGTCTCGAGATGACGCATTTGATAAGGAGGTGGTCCACAGCATCTTCATCCTGATCGCAGAGGTAGCAGGGGGAGATGTCATCTTGGAGCCCATGTCTAAGGCGCCGATCAGAGGTCCATATCCTATATTGGATAGCCAGCCACATGAAGATCTTGCAGGTGAGCGGCGCCCAGCACTTCCAGACCCATTTAGCGAATGTAACGCTGACTGCACCCTTGAAAAACATCCGATAGGCAGAGGCGGATGTGTAGACTTGCTTCGAATTCCATGGCCAAATTGCCTCATCCTGTAAGTTCGGGTCCAACCGAGCGGCCAGAATATGATCCCAGAGCCTAATAAACTGAACCAAACCTTCCGTAGACAGGTCACCTGAGATGTCAGACGTCCACCGATGGTTAAGTAATCCCTCTTTCACAGTTCTTCTATTGACTGTCTGCGTTCGAACTGTACACCAAACGTCCGGTGCAATCTCCTTGGCCGACACACCTCCCATCCATCTATATTTTCAGAAGAGCGCGGTGGCCCCATCGTGAATTCTCCAGTGGACTAAGCTGTCGAAAGCAGCAAGAACTGGCGGATCCTTGTCCATGGGAAGTCCATGCCAGGGGCGACTCCTATCAGTGCGCCGCAACCATTCCCACCTCAACCTAAGGGCCAAGCCCTGACGCTTTAGATCGATTAGTCCGAGTCCGCCAAGATCCTTGGGCCTGCAGACTCTCTGCCAAGCAACCAAGCACTTCCCTCCATGTATCTCCTCATAGCCCTCCTAGAAGAAAGCACAGCATCGTTTGTTCACTTGCTCCAGTGCCCATTTTGGTGCGTCCGCAATGATTATGTGGTGCATTGGTCGCGCCATGACTACGTCGTGGACAAGAACCAGCCGCCCAGCTCTAGTTATGAGACCCTTCTGCCATCTCGGCATGAAATTGAGCACGATGTCCACCACCGACTGCCATTCAGAGCGCGTTAATTGTCAGATGGATAGTTGGAGGCCCAGATACTTGCAGGGAAAACTCTCCAAGCGCCAAGGCATCGCCCCTTGGACAAGCTCCTTGTCTCCGTCTTCCTCTCTGATCAGGATTGCCACTGATTTCTCATAGTTTATACGCAAACCCGAGGCATTTCCGAAGATGTGCAAAGCCTCTCTGACGAACCGAAGATCAGAGGTGGTGGGCCTGATAAATAGAACCACATCATTCGCATATATAGAAAGCCTTTGCATCGGCGTGCAACCCGGCATAGTACTCAGCACATTGCACTCCTGTGCTGTGTTGATGAGAGATGTGAGCACGTCCATAGCGATGACGAATAGGAGTGGTGAGACGGGATCTCCCTGGCGTAAGCCTTGAGCATGCAAGAATTTTTGACCTACATAGCCGTTGACTACCACACGGGAGTGAGCTGTGGATAGGAGCGTGGATATACAGGAGAGCCATGTTTCTGAAAAGCCCTTGGCCTGAAGGACTTCAAACAAGAAAGGCCAAGATAAGCTGTCGAAGGCCTTCGAGATGTCCAGTTTAAGCATGACTCCTTTAGATTTACGTCGGTGAAGAGACCGAGCTACTTGTCTGACAAGCAAGAAATTGTCATGCAAGTTCCTTCCTTTGATAAACACCGACTGGTTGGGCTGTACGAGCTCATTCATGCGTGGTCTTAGTCTGTTCGCTAGTAATTTGGATCCAATCTTTGGCAAGCTATGCACCAAGCTAATAGGCCTAAAATCTCCCACCTGACAAGCTCCCCGCTTCTTCGGGATTAGCGTGATAAGAGCTTGGTTGAGGCGCCCAAATCCGTGACCATTGCCAAGAAACAAGTGGTGCAGAGCGGCCATCACGTCTCCCTTGACAGTACTCCAAGACTTATGGAAGAATAATCCAATGAATCCATCCGGACCGGGCGCCCGATCAGCGGGCATCTCTTTAATGGTGGCCCACAGATCCTCCTCCGTAAACACCGTGTCCTGGTCGTTCAAGTTGATGGGTTGGATCCTAAGGAAGTCCAAATCCACGGTGTTGTCGCGCCTCCTCGCAGTTCCCAGCAGATCTTTGTAGGCCTCAAAGAAGAGCTGCTCTTTCCCAAGCTGATCTGTGATCAAGTTCCCATCATGCGATATCGCTGGAATGAAATTCTTCGTCTTCCTCCCATTCGCCACGAGGTAGAACAGTTTGGTGCTTGCATCACTCTCTTGAATCCAGCGTATCCTCGATCTTTGGCGAGCAATTGTGCGCTCAAGCGAGGCAAGACCTAGTGTGGTCAACTTTAATGTCCTCCTAAGCCACCGTTCCCCATCCGTAAGCCGGCGCTTTTCCTGCGCCACATCCAACTGGAAGATGATCCAGTTCGCGATCGCAATCTGAAGCTTAATATTGCCCATCTTTTTTTGCCCCCATGAAGTCAGGTATCGCGCCGTGTTCCTTAGCAAGATATCCAAGCGTTTGAAAGGGTCATGCACGGCTGGGTCGCACACCCAAGCATCCTTCACCGCATCCTCATAGCCCTCAAGCTTGGTCCAAAACACCTCGAATCTAAAGCGCTTCTGTGGGTGCATGCTCTCCTGAAGGGTAAGATGCAAAGGGCAATGATCCGAGGAGGAAGTGGATAGAGCTTGCAGGAGGCAGTCCGGATGCGCCAGCTCCCAATCCACAGAAACTAGGGCCTTATCAATCTTCGTAAGGGTGGGGGAGTCTCTTTCGTTGCTCCAAGTATAGGCTCTCCCGTGCATATAAAGCTCCTTGAGACTGTTGCCGTCAACAAACTGGCGGAATTTATGCATCATGTGTCTATCAATGAGTGAGTTGTTCTTATCCGTGGCTTGGAGGATCATGTTGAAGTCTCCAATGACCAGCCACGCGCCCGGACAGAGCGATCTCCTGGCCTCTAATTCCTCAAGGAAAAGCATTTTGTCCTGGTCCTCTTGGGGGCTGTAAACCGTGGTGAGCCATCAGGGTGCACCATCTGTGTGGGCGAGACAAAGCCAGAGATGAAGTGCGTGTCCCGCACACAATTCGTGATGCGCACCAACTCCGATTTCCAAGCTAAAAGGACTCCTCCCCTAGTGTCACAACTAAATTATTAACAACGGGTGCTTGCGGCGCTCCACCCCACTAGTATAACAAAAAGTAGGCTTTGGTTTTTCACAGTTTTTTAAATATATTTTTTTGCAAGGGCAATTAGGTAAGGTGCCGACTACGAGCTGCACCGTCAGCTGCAAGAGGTGACAATAACGTCAACAGTGGGGGTGTCGATGACAACGACGGTTGGGGCCTCGGGGGTGGCGAAGAGGCCGAAAGCAAGGTGGCGGCAAAGAGGTCAAGAAAAGGCCAGAAACTCGATGGAGTGGGGAGGACTAGCCTGCGTGCTACCAACACACTGGGCAAGGGAGGACAAGGGAAGGACGCCGCGAGTGTTCGCGGAAGGGGAGGACGCGGCAGAGTGTTCACGGACGCAAACCGATCCCAGATTTGGGCTGAAAATGAGTCAAAGCGAACAGCAAAATGGACATTGATCCCTTTGCGTCACCGCATTGTGCCGTGGTTCAACATGTCTCTAGGACACATACATGACCAAAAACATGTTTCTAGGACACATACAGACGAATTGCATTGGCCCATTAGAAGTTGCCCTTAGCTCAACATGTCTCTAGGACACATGACCAAAAACATGTTTCTTTAAGAAACCAAACACATGTTCCATGCATCATCCCCTCAAAAAAAAAAATGTTCCATGCACGTAACATTTCTGAGAATGTCCCTACACAATGCGAGACTAGCTACCAAATACGGCCTATTGATTGCACAAACTATGTGCAACAAAGCACACTGTCGCCGGCACACCAAATGACATTTTCTAGACATAAACGTTTGCCAGTAAAACAAACACACAGATATCTTATGTAACTTAAACGCCCCAGAACGCTTTCACCTTCAAAGCACATTGTACAGCAATTGCTCTCGCTGGCATTTCAAGCTGCGTAAAGATTAGGAGAGCTCGTCCTCAGGCCGGAGCACTCGGTGGGGTGGCATCTCAACCACCGTCGAGGTGTCATTTGGGAGCCCGCTGTCAGGCTGGGCGACTGGGGATGTTTGACTCTCAGATGGCCGCAAGATGACATTACCAGCTGCACGATCAGTGTGTTCATCTGTCGACTGAGGCATTAGTTGGGTGGAGCGCCGGTGTGCTAACTGCAACAGCTGTGAAAAGAATGCACCACCAAGTGGCATTGAGAGCCATGGCTGACCATGATCGTCAGTGTTTAGCACCGGGTACACCGATTGGGAGCTCACTGGATGAACATCCTCTGCAGCAAATGCAACGTAAGAAAGTCAGAATACAGGTACAATTAACTGGGGGCAATGGAGCTCCGGCTCCATGGTTACAAATGAACGACAGAAAGATGTTCCCTTGATAAAAAACCGACAGAAAGATGTATTTAATGAGCTTCAGTTTTGGGGATATAAGAATTCAAATGAAATGCACATACCCAGAACTTTCAGACACATTAAAGTAAGACTTATAGTACACATTTCACTTGTCCGAACTACTAGTTGCTTTGCCCTAGTACATATAATATTGTCACTTGGTTTCCAAGGTAGGAAACTTAGCAACATCAATAGGCAACTACACAGTGCAAGCAACTTAGCAACATGGTAGACAGCTGAGCATCAACAGTAGGCAACTTCGTAATATTGTAGACAACTTACTATCAATGTGGGCAAATTTGGAGTAAACGTTAGGACGATTATTAGGTCCTAGACTCCTAGTACTCACAGAGTCACAGTGTGTTTTTTCATCTTCATAGTGTAATAGGCAACTTATAGGATGATGTTAAGCTACTCATTAATCATGGTAGGCAACTTAACATAATCGTTAGGCTAATATATGTTAATGGTAGCCAATATAGAATAACATTAGACTAATTGCAGACATTGTAGGCAACCTAACAGAAGTTGATTTATGTAACACCATAGTTGCTTCTAGTTTCGAATAGCTCTTCGCAAGAGATCCAGCCACGAAAACAGAATTTAACTTCCACGTCCAGTTAAACAGAATTAAAATGCATGTGTCATCTTGTCTCCTTGCATGCAAAGATTCACTCTATTTACGAGCTGTTTCTAAGAGTGCGTGTTGACTGGTGGGAATCAGACACGTGCATGTTTGGGGAACACAGGAGACCAATTTTATGGCTACTGTTGGGACAAACATCCTTATTTTTCAGGTATTCATTTGGGAAAGCGAAATAGTTCAGCTGTACTATCTGTGCTCTCTTGATATATATCTTATTATCTTTTACCTATATACATAAAATCTAAATAACAGGTCATGTTCACAAGTTAAACAGGAATTCCAAGAGAATTCTTCATAGTTCATACGGCAGTTTCTATTACTTATTATTGGCCCAAGTGCAAGATGCCTTTTAACATGATTATTCCACTGTAGATAATACTGCTAAAGAGAAGCTCCGCTAATTCTCAAATTTGACAGGCGCAGGGTCACCAAAAAAAAGGGCCTGCTTGCTACTATCATAATGCCCAGCATTTCAATATGAGTAATTTGCAAACTGCATGGAGATCAATATTCTTTTTGGCATAATTACATTGTGCCAAGCATCTTCACTGCTTACTACTCATTATACAGGAGTCTTCACAGTACTTGAAAGGGAGTTAGTAATGGTGGTTGCGCATCGCTCCCCTTTTCAACTAACGTGTCCACAAAAAGAATGTCGCCGGCAAGTGGACCTTGCAATATGTTCTCTTCTACGAACACATCGACATTCTTCTTTCGCAAATCACAACAAACCCCATCCCAACTGCCCTGAATTGGTCTATCTCCTCTCTAACAGCAGCGGGGCAGAGCCCTTTGTTGGCTAGATCCACACACCCTTGCTAGCCACATGACATTTTTGAAATCCCTCATCATCAATGCAGAGAAGTGGGAGACAAATCAATGATGGTGGCCACATCAGAATACCTAATAAGGTAAATATAGCGGACACGCCTACATTGATAGGACTTGGATGCATACAAAGGCATGTGGTGGCCACCAGATATAATGAATCAAGGGTAAGGCTACGCCACAACGACACAGGAAGTTATACATGCCAAACATGTATTGTTCATAAGATAGAACGACATTTTGATAAACTTATTTTTAATATCTCAGAAGCTAGTAGCAACACAAGTACCCTACTTGTTTACAGGACATGAAAGCTTAACCGACTTTGCATTACAGAGCTAATATTAGCTGTAAAGGCTTATAGAGCTAACATTTTTGTTGACACTATGGAAACAAACGTATTATTGCCTCAGTAGCTTCAATATCTTATGCTAGAGGAAAACCGAAGAACATCTAAAAATATATAATGTAAAGACAACACGCTTATCAAAGCCAAGTTAGAAGTTATTACCTGATGCTGATGGACAATTGAGATGCATGGGACGTGATAAATTGGTAAACGATGGGGGTGGATAGTTTGATGAAAGATGACCATGCATCACAAAATTCCGTGATAAGCCAGCAATCTCCTCAGCACATGACCTTAAGCATATAAAGAAAGAATACACATCATTTGTCATAAGGTGAAATATTAACTAACTAATGGAGAGTTTAGAAATGTATAATCAATAAAAAAAAAGGGCAACCTGGTGCATGTAGCTCCCGCTTGCGCAGGGTCCAGGGAAGGGTCCGACCACTTTGGGTCTATAGTACGCAGCCTTTCCCTACATTTCTGTAAGAGGCTTGTATCTTCACTGAAGAATCAATTTTAAAAAATAACAAACCTTTGAATTTCATTCAGATATTTGGGGAACACACATGTCAAATAGTCTGGTTTGAAATGATAGGCTCTCTCAGCACGATATGGTACAAGTATTTCCACCTCCTTCTTTCCAAGGTCAACACCAACCATCCAAGCAGTCTTATCATACGAGTCCATCATCGACATCAGGTAGACAAGATCATCACCACTTGGGCTGAGGGCCGGGTGCGCTGTTGTCAGGCTCCTTAATGGTGATTTTCCACAACCATCCCATAGCTGTGGCAACAAGGCAAACTGATTTGGGTTGTTGGCCAAGATGTCATCAACATGAATAATGTGCCCCTTGCGCCAATGGTCCCAAGCAGTATGCCTATAACATGTCCGGATCTTCCAACCATCAGGGATATAATTAATTTGCTCTCGCGGCGCTTCTAGGAAGTCCTCATGCGGACGGAGGAGGATATCCAGGTCGTACATCCTATCTACACTATCCAGATCCTTCGTCATCTTAAACCTCTTACTACGACTGTTAATACTAACAACCTCCCGCCTGTAAAGATGATCCATCTCGACAAATTTGATAACACCATTGTAGCAGGCAATGTCCCGAACCGGCTTTGGGTCACCCTCCCGAGGCAAGTTGAATTCAGGCTTGGGAAGTGGAATGAAAAAGATAAATGGGTCCTCGTCAAGAATGTTGCAAGCAATAATACCACGCCAGAGGTCGACCCATCCTACCACGCCTCCACCAAGAGTGATAACCTTGTGAGGTACAATGAACATGTCCTCTACCCTGAGTTCAGTAGTAGATGCCTCCAACTGCAATGTCCTAGTGACCCACTTGTCCTTCTTGGATGAAAAAATACTGATGTCATAGTAACCAAGGGTAGTTGTGACGGCTAGATCGGCAAGGAAGAATTCCCCATCGTCGCCCTTGTCACACGACACGACACCGACATACAGTGTATTCCTGGTACCTGGAGGAGTAGCCGGGATCGGTTTGAGGGATGGCTTGTCTCGGCCAACCTTGTAGATGAAGTACTCGGCGAGACCACAGTGTTGGACAGAACTTCGGGAGCCGCTGGTGAAGGCGAAGCATAGGAGGACGAGGTCCTTCTCCGAGAATAGAACCCGGGGCTCAACGGCGAAGTGCCCGGGGTTGAAATCAGGGCCATGGACGCAAAAGTGGGAGACGGCCGGCGGATCCGCTAGGTAGAAGGTGACCTTTACGATGCGACCGGTGCTTGATTTGGCTTCAGCGGTGGTGGCGTTCTCGAGATCGGCGAAGTAGGCCTTTCTGTCGAGTAGAACCCAGGCGGGATAGCGAGAGGGGGTGGCGGCGGCGCCGGTGGCGGCGGCGGCGGCGGCTGGGGGCTGAAAGGAAGAAGCGGGGAACTCCATGGTAGTCGGAGCAGATCGGATTTGGGAACTAGGGTTGTAGTCTGCACAGGTCGGATTGGGGAACTAGGTTGAACTGACTTTCTATGGGTCGGCGGCGATAGTTGGGCTGGATTTCGAGTCGTCCTTCTAGCGCAGTTTATAGGAGTTCCCGCAACTCACCCGGCAAGGTATTCGAGTGGAGTTCGGTCACTGGTTTCGGGGATTCCAGACGCTTCCAGGCCGATTTTTGGAAGCTTCCAGCCTTTTTTGTTTTTGTTTTACACCGGTTTTGTTAAGTTTTCTCTTTTCTTTTCTTCTTTTTTTATTTTTCCTTTCTCTTACCTTTTCCTTTTTTTCATTTTATAAATAGTGAACTTTTTTAATTTCCAATTTTTTCTACAAATTCGTGATTTTTTTTAATTTTGTGAACATTTTTCCTTAAATTTCTGAACTTTTTAAAAGTTGTGAATTTTTACCCCCAAATACATAAACTTTGTTTAGATCCATGAACTTCTTTGAATCTGTGAACTTTTAAAAAAATTGTGAACATTTAAAAAAACATGTACTTTTTAGGGGACCGCGAAGGCGCTAACGTCGGCCGGGTGATAGATCAGTCGGCTCGCGGGCCATCAGATCTGGTGCATCGGTGCCCTCCATAGTTGAAATATAGGTATTGTTGTAGAAAATTTCTGTAACAGAGGTCTTGTTGCATGATTTTTTGCAACTGAGATTTTGTTGCAGATTTTTTTCCCTTGCAACAGAGGCTTTGTTGTAGAATTCTTTTTTTGTCTTCATCTTTTTACAAACTTTTTTACAACTGCGATTTTATTGCAGATTTTTTTTGCATCTTTGTTGCAAACAAAAATCCGTCCTTGTTTTTTGCAACATTGATGATGTTACAGAAGAAACTTGTGCAACATTGGTGATGTTGCAGAAATTACAAAAAAAATCGTCAGAAGCCAGCAGCATGTCACGTGGGACATGTGTTGTGCAAGCAAGGTGGCAGATGAAATGAAGGGAGTAGCTACTATTACTAGTTAGGCAGCAATGCAATATGACATGGAAGGCTGTAAGTCAAAACGCACACATACTGATCTGAATGTTATGCGGCACATATATTGAAAGTATCAACCAGTGGACCACAGAGCTAGCACGCTTCCATGTGAACACTTCCAGCACGGCCCGAGTGAAATTGCCACGAAACGATTTGACGGTGCAGCGCCCGACGAACGCGCAAGTTATGATCAGCCGGCTGATTAATAACGTTTCCCTACTTGTTATCAAAATTTTAGAACTTTTTTGGATTCATGAACTAATTTCAAATTCATGAACTTTGTAAAAATGTGAACTATTTTGAAAATTCATGAACTTTTTACAGATCCATGAAGTTGTTTTTAAAATTATGAACTTTTCTAATTTGTGAAAAAAATTGCAATATTTTTTCTAAATTCGTGAAATTTTTATTTTCATGATTTTTCTAAATTTTGTGAACTTTTCAAAAAGTCAACAGTCAAAGTGGGCCCTAGTCAACATCAGCGGTCTGTCAACTAAGAACCGACCGAACTGAGTGAACCAGGGAAATAAAAAAATGAGCAAGCCAATAACTTTTTTCGAGTGAGCAATCCAAGAACTGAACTAGAGCCCACCTCCACCTGGTGGGCCGGCCCAACGCGGTACAACGTGAACTGCCACATAGGACCTCCTGGATGGACGACGTATCACAATACATCATGAGATTTTTTTTTCCAGGCGATACCCCTAGCGATCTAGGGTTCCAAACTTTCCTCTGGCGGCAGCCAGAGTCCACATAATCTCTCGCCGGCGGCCGATCCCCTTTGGTCGACGGGGAGATCTACTGCTATCGGAGAAGGTTTGAGTTTTGCATGGCGGATCCATCCACGCAGAAAAGGTGGGGGAGGCAAGAGAGGGAGATGGAAGATAGGGCTAAGGGGGTGACCTACAAGCACTTGAACCAGTCCAGGATCGGGTGCAGGATCGAAGGGAGAAGGAAGCAGTGTTGAAGGAGGGGGCTAGTGAAGATGGAGGAGGAGAGATGTCAGCCATGGGCGGGGAGGAGGAATATTATGAAGACTACACGGGGCCGACGCCGGATCTCGAGGACAGTTTTGCGGGTATGACCCTCCGAAGAGGAGGAAGATCTTGAATTCTCCAGCGAGGTAGACGATCTCATCAAGGATGTTCGTTGGTTGGGCTTATTCCGGGTGCACACCACTTGGCCTTTCAGTCATGCGGCGCTGCTCAATCAGATGTGCAACGCTTGGTCATCAGCTCAGGGAGTCACTTTTAGCATCAAGGGCCCTGATCTCTTTTTGGTGCAATGCACTATTTGGGGGACTAGAGGAGGATCATGGAAGGAGGACCGTGGCTATTTTGAAAGGCCCCAGTTGTGATACAGGAATATGATGGATTCTCATATGTCTCTGAACATAAGCTTAACAAGATCCCGGTTTGGGCAAGGATCAAAGAGCTCCCTGATGGCCTTACCAGGAAAAAGGAGCTGGTTGAGAAGGTAGCTGCCAAGGTAGGAGAGCCACCTTTCACGGTGATAGTCCACGAAGGGAGGATTAACCCAACTAGCACTCTTCGTGCTAGGGTATTTCTAGGTGTGAGCAAGCCGCTGGTTCGTTTTGTGCCCATAACGCTGAAGGGTAGCAAGAGGTATAAGGTTTTCTATGAGAAGCTCCCTGATTTTTGTTTTGTCTATGGGCTCATGGGAGATATTGTTGAAAAATGTGGCGACGACGTCCACGATCCCTCAAAATTTGAGTGGGTGATTGGCTGTTATGGGAACCTTAACCACCATCTGATCGTGCTTTCGCTTGAAGGGGCGGGGGAGATATGGGTGGCCAAGGAAGAAGGGGAGGAAGAGGAGAAAGAGGAGGCAGATCAGGGAGCGGAGGGGATGGAGACGCAGGTAGGGGAGCAGCACAAGGTGGTGTGGGCACGGGCCATGGCGCTGGCCTGTCTGCTATGGATCATATATCACAAAACAATAGTGACCCAGGGGAGAAGAATGATAGGAAGAGACTGGTGGCAGCAGATGGCACTCTTAATATACGGGGTCAAGCTCTGCCACATTTGGTTGGAAGAGTGTGTAGGTCGGTGCTGAGGATTGAGGGCACTTCCACAAGTGCATGCAAGGAGGTGAATACTGTTGGGGAACGTAGTAATTTCAAAATTTTCCTACGCACACGCAAGATCATGGTGTTGGCATAGCAACAAGAGGGGAGAGTGTTCGTCCACGTACCCTCGTAGACCGTAAGCGGAAGCGTTAGCACAATGCGGTTGATGTAGTCGTACGTCTTCACGATCCGACCTATCCAAGCACCGAACGTACGGAGCCTCCGAGTTCAGCACACGTTCAGCTCGATGACGATCTCCGGCCTCCGATCCAGCCGAGCTCCGGAGATGAGTTCCGTCAGCACGACGGCGTGGTGATGATGATGATGTTCTACCGGTGCAGGGCTTCGCCTAAACTCCGCGACGATATGACCGAGGTGGAATATGGTGGAAGGGGGCACCGCACACGGCTAAGGAACGATCTGTAGATCAACTTGTGTGTCTATGGGGTGCCCCCTGCCCCCATTTATAAAGGAGGGAGGGGGAGGTGCGGCCGGCCGCCTAGGGGTGCGCCTGGAGGAGTCCTACTCCCACCGGGAGTAGGACTCCCCCCTCTTGCCTTGGTGGAGAAGGAAAGGGGGAGGGGAAAGAGGAAAGGGGGGCGCCGCCCCCCTTCCTTGTCCTATTCGGACTAGGGGGGAGGGGGCGTGCGGCCTGCCCTGGCCGGCCCTCCTCTTCTCCCTCTTGGCCCACTAAGGCCCAATATCCCCCGGGAGGGTTCCGGTAACCCCCCGGTGTTCCGGTAAAATCCCGATTTCACCCGGAACCATTCCGATGTCCAAATATAGGATTCCAATATATCAATCTTTATGTCTCGACCATTTCGAGACTCCTCGTCATGTCCGTGATCACATCCGGGACTCCGAACAAACTTCGGTACATCAAAACTTATAAACTCATAATAAAACTGTCATCGAAACGTTAAGCGTGCGGATCCTACGGGTTCGAGAACTATGTAGACATGACCTAGAACCATTCTCGATCAATAACCAATAGCGGGACCTGGATGCCCATATTGGTTCCTACATATTCTACGAAGATCTTTATCGGTCAAACCGCATAACAACATACTTTGTTCCCTTTGTCATCGGTATGTTACTTGACCGAGATTTGATCGTCGGTATCCAATACCTAGTTCAATCTCGTTACCGGCAAGTCTCTTTACTCATTCCGTAATACATCATCTCATAACTAACTCATTAGTTACATGCTTGCAAGGCTTAGGTGATGAGTATTACCGAGAGGGCCCAGAGATACCTCTCCGACAATCGGAGTGACAAAACCTAATCTCGAATTATGCCAACCCAACATGTACCTTCGGAAACACCTGTAGAGCACCTTTATAATCACCCAGTTACGTTGTGACGTTTGGTAGCACACAAAGTGTTCTTCCGGTATACTGGAGTTGCACAATCTCATAGTTGCAGGAACTTTGTATAAGTCATGAAGAAAGCAATAGCAGTATACTAAACGATCAAGTGCTAGGCTAACGGAATGGGTCATGTCAATCACATCATTCTCCTAATGATGTGATCCCACTAATCAAATGACAACACATGTCTATGGTTAGGAAACATAACCATCTTTGATTAATGAGCTAGTCAAGTAGAGGCATACTAGTGACTATAGTTTTGTATATGTATTCACACATGTATCATGTTTCCGGTTAATACAATTCTAGCATGAATAATAAACATTTATCATGATATGAGGAAATAAACAATAACTTTATTATTGCCTCTAGGGCATATTTCCTTCAGTCTCCCACTTGCACTAGAGTCAGTAATCTAGATTACATAGTAATGATTCTAACACCCATGGAGTCTTGGTGCTGATCATGTTTTGCTCGTGAGAGAGGCTTAGTCAATGGGTCTGCAACA